ATCAAAATTTTATAATATATAGTTGCAGAATGTTAAGATGAACATTTTTGCTTCAGTAATTTATAACAAAATATTGATCATTAAAGAGTTATAGATAAAAGATTTTTGGCCCTTCTGAGCCCCTAATTTGAGGGGTCAGCCCCTTTTTCTTGATATCAAATGAAAGGTCTTGTGATTTCGAAGACTTTTTGTTCAACAACTATTCAGAAATTTCCTTTCGTTTAAGAGATATATAGAATAACAATATTTAGGGGCCAGCCCTCCAAGTCCTTAATGGGGATGTCTTGCAAAAATTAAAAGGGTGTATATTGTTTAGAACATTATTCTGAACATCTTTTGTTCAATATTGCTTATCAAAATATTTCTCCTTTTCGAGATATAAAGTGTCAAAGATTTAGCATTTTGGCCCCTTATGGCACCTTGTTACGTAACATATGATCAAAATTTTAAAATATATAGTTGCAGAATGTTAAGATGAACATTTTTGCTTCAGTAATTTATAACAAAATATTGAACATTAATGAGTTATAGATAAAAGACTTTTGGCCCTTCTGAGCCCCTTATTTGAGGGGTCAGCCCCTTTTTCTTGATACCAAATGAAAGGTCTTGTGATTTTGAAGACTTTTTGTTCAACAACTATTCAGAAATTTCCTTTCATTTAAGAGATATATAGAATAACAATATTTAGGGGCCAGCCCTCCAAGTCCTTAATGGGGATGTCTTGCAAAAATTAAAAGGGTGTATATTGTTTAGAACATTATTCTGAACATCTTTTGTTCAATATTGCTTATCAAAATATTTCTCCTTTTCGAGATACAAAGTGTCAAAGACTTAGCATTCTGGCCCCTTATGGCCCCTTATTACGTAACATATGATCAAAATTTTATAATATATAGTTGCAGAATGTTAAGATGAACATTTTTGCTTCAGTAATTTATAACAAAATATTAATCATTAAAGATTTATAGATAAAAGATTTTTGGCCCTTCTGAGCCCCTAATTTGAGGGGTCAGCCCCTTTTTCTTGATATCAAATGAAAGGTCTTGTGATTTTGAAGACTTTTTGTTCAACAACTATTCAGAAATTTCCTTTCGTTTAAGAGATATATAGAATAACAATATTTAGGGGCCAGCCCTCCAAGTCCTTAATGGGGATGTCTTGCAAAAATTAAAAGGGTGTATATTGTTTAGAACATTATTCTGAACATCTTTTGTTCAATATTGCTTATCAAAATATTTCTCCTTTTCGAGATACAAAGTGTCAAAGATTTAGCATTCTGGCCCCTTATGGCCCCTTGTTACGTAACATATGATCAAAATTTTATAATATATAGTTGCAGAATGTTAAGATGAACATTTTTGCTTCAGTAATTTATAACAAAATATTGATCATTAAAGAGTTATAGATAAAAGACTTTTGGCCCTTCTGAGCCCCTAATTTGAGGGGTCAGCCCCTTTTTCTTGATATCAAATGAAAGGTCTTTTGATTTTGAAGACTTTTTGTTCAATATATTTTAACAAAATACTTTTATTTAAAATGTTATTATAAGAAATGTCTTTAGAATTCACTCAAAAATTTCGTCCTAAATTTCGACCCCTACCGAGCCTCCATACTTCGCACTTCCGGAAAATTTGAAAACCAAGGTGCACATCTAGAACATGTCCTCTATCACCACTGAAACTTTCAACACTCTAGCATTTGTCGTTCTTGAGTTTTTGTGCAGACACAAGGTCTATCTAAAAATCGATCAAAGGGCGATAACTTCTGACCAGAAGTGATTTTTCAAAAACTGAAATGCCGTTATAAACTTCAGATAGCAACGCATTAACCCTGAAAATTTGAAGCAAATCGATCGAGCGATCTCCGAGAAATCTTCTGCACAAAATCGGTAAGGAAAAAAAAAAGAATAATAATAATAAAAAGAAAAGTGAAAAATCAACAATAGAATAATAGAAGGGTCTTCCGCAGAAGACGGAAGACCCTAAATATAAATAAAACGGATACCTGTTATCAAGACAAAGTCCTTCCTGTGAAAGATATAATGGAAAAAGAGCTAGAATTGACACAGGAAAGAAAAATAACACCATTTCCAATGTTTCACTTACAAATTATTCATTTCAATTAATTTTGAAGGATGGATGTCACTTTATATTTACCATTGTAATTTTGTTGGTTTATAAATCACGTTCTTTCATATTTTCATTTCCTTTGTGTTTGAGACAAAAATGTAAAAGTGTGAAAAATCGTGTCTAATGCACTTAATGAATATAACTACAGTAAAACTCGTTTAGTAAGATCACGGATATAGCGAATTTACAGATATAGCAAAGTTTTTTGCAATTCCCGGCAAAATCTTCAACAATTCCTCGCAAAATTTACGGATATAACGAACTCTGATGTTGCGAATTTACGGTTATATTGAATAGATTTTATGTCCCAAAGATAACAAAATTAACATCTGTTATGGCGAATTTTCAAAGATCTACATTTTAAAAACATTGTACTGACATAATTTTTTTATAGTATTTATATTTGAAACTCAATTCATCCGAAAACTTTTGAAATCCAAGGTAAATTTTTGTATTTTATACTTCCTTAAATACAATTGGTAGTCTTTCTTGAATTTAAACATCTGTATTGCGAATTCGCTATGCATACTGTATTCGTTATACGTATATAATGAATTACAAATATAGCAAAGTAAACTTAGGCCACCAGAACTTCGCTATGACGGAGTTTTACTGTATTTCAAATTGATGTCATATAAATAAAATTCTTCCCGATTTCTCAATTATGCACTTAGACATTATAGAAAAGTTCCGTGATTCAAGAAAAGCGATTTTATAAAATTGGGAGAGAGTTTAAATAACAGATTTGAACGAAATTAAATCATTTTAAATTGGTTTTTAATCCGCAGATATACATTCTATTACAGTGTATGTGACATTACACAATGCATGATTTTTATAGTGAATTCATCATGCTCTGTTTAATGTGCTTTGATTTTGAAAAAAAAAAAAAAGAAAAAAAAAAGAAAAAGAAAAAAAAACCTAACTGAAAAGGGTTTTTTTTGTGGATATATTTTCAAGGAAATACACAAATTTAAGCAAATTCATTCTCAATTATCCAAACCTATACTGTACGTTCATGTTATTTTATCTCATTTAAACAATAAATTACTTTTTTTAAATGCATGGTTGCGACCTAATATCGAAAACGCTTGGGACGAACTTTAGATTAATCTACTAAGTAATTAAATTACTTGTCTACGTCATTGTTGTCTAAGAGCATTAAGACCTTTCATTGACAACACGGAATAATGTCTACAGTTTATTCTGTAACTTCTAAAAATGTTAACATTGATATTTGAAAAAAAAAAGATCCAACTAGTTATGTTTTTAAATCATCCTTCGTTTTAAAAATGGTGTTTTTGATAAGTATTTTTAAATGATGTTTCATAATGATTGTCCGAACAGTAAACAAAAAGTCACTGTGACGTATCAATTATGCGAATTTTATTGTGTGCCGAGAATACAATGACTCTAATTCATACACTTGTGATGATGTTATATTACATATATATTTTACGTGCATGTTCGTCCAAAGCATGTGTTTTTTTTTTTTTTAAATTGCAAGAGAATTAAACGTACTTTAAGGCTTAAACCAGGGCATAAATAACTTTGTAATGACTGTTTGGATCTGGTCAGCTTTTTATGGGTTGCACAAGTAGAAACCGACTCTTAGGATTGGGTTCTCTTTCTACAACAAAAATTACATTTTTAGGATTAGGGGGTCATATTTCGGTGTATTACACATATAATGTATGAACTTTTATGTACATATGTACGTGCACATACCGACCTCCAAGCAACAGCTTTTTAGCTCACCAATTTACCAATTTTGTTGAAAACTTACATGTGCATGCAGTAGATTGGCTTAAAAAAAAATTCTACGAGTTATTTAAGAATTTTTTTTTAAGTTCTTACATTTTAATGAACTTTGTAATTTTATTTGCTTGTTAACAACCCCCCCCCCCCCAACGTTTTGTAGTAAAAAGACACCGTGAAGGAAAAACGGAAAAATTGACAAAAGTAGAATTTTTGCAAGACACATGCAAATTTTATTCAATTCTTGAAAGTATTAGATTTCAGAAAATTACAGGTTTCAGAACCTAAAAAAATCTACTTTTACTGTAAAAAAAAAAAAAAAAAAAAAAAAAAAAAAAAAAAAAAAAAAAAAAAAAAAAAAGTAAAAATAATTTTAGTTTACCCCAACACGAAAGTAGTGCGTCACTTCTTCCTCTTTAAGAAACGAATGCGCAGAAAAGTTGAAGAAGTTACCATGGGTCAATTCCATAGATATAAATGTCGGATGACAGAGGATGTTATATAATTCTTCAAAAAAGATGATCAGAACTTATTCTTCACTTTTGATTGCTCCAATTAAAAGTTGTTTACAAGTTTCATGCTAAATAAAAAAAGACACATGACTTTGACATTGACGATAACAACCACGCCATAGATAAAACTTTTTTTTTTCCGGCACATACATTTTGCAGTCTTCTCTTGCTTTTACCGTGCAGTGAGTTTTCAAAACTTCGCCTTATTCATATTTTTCATAAATCTTACAATAATCCTAAAACAAACACATGATATTGACTGAATGGAAAGAAAATTCTTTCATGAAGAATGAATATTGCATAATATGTATGAAAAGCAAAAACTTTAACAATTTAGGTTTTTTTTTTTTTTTTGTTTGTTTGTTTGTTTGTTTTTTTTTTTTTAATTTGTGACGGCATGAAAAATTTGAAAAGCTACAAAGATCAACTTAACCACATGATTATGCGTAAATAACAACTCGAATTCATTTATTATATCTTTTATTTATAAAATCTTGTAAAATAACAACACTTGATAACAATACTGCCGAGTAAAAGAAGAACATATTTCGTCATAAATGACGTCATCAGCCTTGACATGACACAGAACAAGTGAACCAGACTCCGGGGCCATAAAACTTAGCCAGCTCACTTTTGAGATCAGAATTTGAGACGGTCTCAGATTTTGGTCTCAGTCTCAAGTTAGGTGTGCCATAAAAAATTGTCGTCTCAGTCTCAGTCTCAGTTTCTTAGTTTGGTCTCACTCTTGAGCTCAAAAAGTTAGCCAACTTAAAAGGTGTCTAACTTCTTAATTTGTGATCTCACTTTCAATATGGCGTCTTCGGCAGCGAGGTTGAATATTTTCAACATCATTCAAAGGCAGAGAAAGGCTCCACGTCCGCGTGTTTTCAAGGATAGAAGTAATCCATTGGAGGATTTGGAGCCGAATGAGGTCTATATTAAATACCGTTTCAGGCCTGCTACCATCCTCTTCCTTGTGGAATTGTTGTACGATGATCTTGTAAGACCTACAAAGAGAAACTCCGCCCTTCCCCCGCTTTTACAAGTGCTGGTAGCCCTACGATTCCTAGCCACTGGCTCATTTTATAATCTCGTTGGTGAACCACTGGGAATCGCCAAGTCTTCGACTGGAAGAGCCGCTCGCCGTGTGTGTACCTTGCTTGCGGGTTTCGCACAGAGGTACATTAAATACCCTATGGACCTATCTTCATTCAAGAGTAGATTTTTTGATATTGCAGGTACATGTGTTTAACACCCTCTTTATGAAATACAAACTATCATTTCACATTCAACGCGAAATTACTCTGTCTATGTTTTAATAATGGGTGCACATATGTCATATCGCACAATAAATTGTATGTTTTTCCCCTTTACTTAATAAAATAAGCATCTTAATAAATGCATTGAAGTTAAAAAACAATTATATATCTTTATCTACCTTTCGTTATCGATCAGTATCGGCATCCTCTGTATACCCGGTAGTTTTTGTTTTCCATCCATACTCCATTGATAAAAGAATTACCACAAGGGGAAATAAATCTTGTAGAAAGTGATTTTTTCAAACCCATTCTAAAAATGTGATAAAATCTAAATGGGCATGAAACGCAAATTGCGGCAGACGACTAGTAGTTCATTGAATGATGCATGTACTTCTACTAAAAAACAGGAGGATAATTAGGGAACCTCCCCCATTTCAGTATTCAGTGACGGAGCACAAGTCAATAAAGGATAAACGACCCTCCCCCCTTTTTTTTTTGCAGCATTCATCGACTGAGCTACCACATAAAAACACAAAAGTTAATAAAAATCGATTTTGAAATTATATTACACAGGGTGCACAAAAAAGTAGGACAGGTTAATGAAAATGGAGTTGCTATTAATTTACTCTGAATTTATTTGAAATGAAATTTTTTTGCGTGTAAAATCATCTACCGATAGAATGTAATGTAATGCTTTAGGTATTTGAGGAAAAAAATTAACTGGAAATTATGTTATAAGCCAAACAATATGATTTTTTTAACTTACCTGCTAAATATGTTAAAACTTCAGGCCAGATTTAAAAAAAAAAAGAAAAAGAAAACTTTGTACATTGGTCTCCTTTCCCTCTAGCTGAACTAGAATCACGCTAAAAAATTCTTGCTTGAAAATTTTTTTTGCTTGAACCATTGCATTATCTGTATGTATTTTTGTTTTGTTTTGTTTTTTGGTCCATGTACCATGTAGTGCCGTTTTACGTCATCGTGGTTTTGAGAGAATTAACTTAAATGAACTATATTTGGTTCATAGGATTCCCAAATGTGGTTGGGTGTGTGGATGGCACTCAAATTAAGATAAAAGCTCCAAAGGATAATGAAGCTGATTTTATAAACAGGAAAGGATTCCATTCCCTAAATGTACAGGTAATATACAAGTTATGTAATCTAAAACTTATATTTAAAACTTTTTTATTGTTTGGGTTTACATGTAAAGTAAAAGAAGATGGGCGAACAAGGCGAGCACAGTGAATATAGTGCAACAAGCATGAAGGTGAAAAATTAAATCTCAATTAAACCAAAATCTTCTTTGATATTTTGATATTTCATCTAAAATTAAAGTATACCTTATGTAAAATCTCCACAATTTGCAAAAATCTCACTAAGATTGAAATTATTTGCCTATGAAATTGCATACACACACTTGAGATGGCAAAAAGGATCATTTTCTCATACTAAAACACAATTTTTCGATATGAGTGGGTATTTGCTCCATATTTTTCAAAGTTTAACTTCAAAGTTTGCATAAAAATATACATTTTCTGGTCAACAAAAACATGGAGCAAACACCCACTATACCTTAAAAATACACTTTTATGACACAACATTCGCATCTTTACGAGAAATACTTGAAGTCCATTTAGTCAAGAGTCATATCACAAACATGATTTAAATGCCACAATTCGTCAAGAGCTGTGTAGCGTAATGGTGAGCGTGTTAGTCTCAAAGAAAAACGGTACTCGAGATTTTTATTGCCAGAGTTCGAACCCCACGAATACGACATAATTTATTTCAAAAACACAATAATTTTTTTCCGAAAAAATTTTCCTCAGAAAATTTGTTTATCATAATTTCATAAATTTCAATAATGAGAACTTTACTCTAAATACTAAATTCACAAACTGATTATGATTTTTATATATCTGAAGCTATAGGCATTCTGCGCACCTTGTTCACCCATCTCCTTTAAGGAAAATGCACACTTTTATGGAGATTTTAAGCATAGTTCCCTTCCTCTCAAATCTCAGATAGTTTAGATGATCAATTTTCTTGATACTCCAAATAATGCAGTTTATCTATTTTTTAAATGAAGTTCTTATAGCTATACAGGTCATTGCATACATAAGATGTACCGGTACTACTTGTTGTATAGCTATATTTGTAGCTGTGACCCTTTGTAAATTTCGTTAAGAATTTGTCCTTAGATATGACAATAGATTCAAGAACCATGATATCTATTATGTTATTGCAGATGATATGTGGCCCTGATTTTTCCATCACAAATGTTGTGGCTAAATGGCCAGGATCAGTCCATGATTCCAGAATTTTCAAAGAGTCTGCGTTATGTAGAGAATTTGAAAATGGTACCTTGTTATGACTATCAATTTCTCTTTGATTCTTGTCTGAGAATTGCAGTTTTGCATTTCTTATTAAATGATTTTTTTTTTTTTATTTCAGTTATCATTTTCATTGAAATTTAAAATCATTCAATCTGTTCCTGTTTTGGAAAAAAATATATTTTGAAAATCTTAATTTATATGCTTCCAAATATTTTTAAGAGTAGGAATTCTGCTATATTTATAAGAAAACTCTGTTTGTACAAACATGCTAGCTATAGGTCGTATACCTTGACTGTAAAAACAATGAAAGTTAATGACAAGCATATACCTTTTTTGAAAATCACATATTAAGGAAAAAAATAATAAGGCCTTAATTCAATTTATCATCATAATAGAAATTCACTTAATTCCCACTGCAGGACACATACAAGGAATACTTTTGGGAGATTCAGGGTATGCCCTTAAACCCTACCTGATGACGCCATACCTGAACCCATCTGAGATTCATATGCAGCGGTTTAATACTGCCCACTGTAGGACAAGAGTGTTGATAGAGCAGACATTTGGCATCATTAAGCGTAGGTTCTCATGTCTACACACTGAATTACGAGTGTCACCCCAGAGGGCCTGTGTTGCCATCATTGCCTCTTGTGTCTTACACAACATCGGTATTATGCGAGGAGACATTTTGCCAAATGCGGACATCATCATAAATGATGAGTGGGATGAGGCGGAAGACTTGGGAGGTGATGGCAAAACTGTACGTGACCATATAGCCTTGAATTACTTCTGAAAGTGAGTATAATTCTCTATAATTTCTAAAGCCAACAATTCAAAAGGAATTGAAATGCTTATTACAATAATTAATGTGTTGTTTTCATGATGCCATTCTTAAAAAAATGCCATCATAACAAGTGGCAAATACTCAGAGTGATTAACATGGAAATCTATTAAAATATGAAAATGAATTAATTAACATACTGTATATCCAATAAGACGTGAAATCTAGGCCCATTTAATTATTATAAAATAAAACAATTACTCCATAAAAGTGCTTACACATGTAAAGTCACAGTAAAGATGAAATTCTTTAAGTTCATTAATTTCATCAATCTTCATGTTCAGAGCAATATCTCCTATCAGATCTGACCAGATAAGAATCTGCATTCACAGTTCTGTAAACTGTGAAAGAGACAGACAGCTTGATGACATCAGAGAATTTTTTTTCATTTCTATTAGCTCAATTTCTGATGACACTTTCTTCATTTTTAGTTTGATATATTCCATTTCTAACTTGAGTTTTTCTTTCTCAGCAAATAAAACCTCTACATGTATGTCATTAATGTTAATTTTTCTTTTTCTGGATGTATCTTTAGGAGATGTCTCTGTCTGGAGAGTAGTGGACTGTGCTGTGCTGCAGCTTGATGGTCCTGGTTCGTCTACGTTCATCTCTTTGTTGGTCACTGACTGTTGTTCTACATTTGACATAACGAAATTTTTTTGATAGAAATTCTTTTTTTTTTTTTTGGTATTAAATATATATTACATCTATAAATACATACATACATACATACATACATACATACATACATACATATATATATATATATATATATATATATATATATATATATATATATATATATATATATATATATATATATATATATATATATATATATATATATATAAATTCGCAATGTCAGTGTATTATTAGCTTATTAAGCAAAATTAATACAGGCACATTTTATTTATTTATTTTAATTTCCAATAAGATTTTGTTTACCCGGTTGACATAAATTTGGGATGTTTTGTGTTTCTAAACCTCCCTCAACACCCTCCAGGGAGGGTCTTCCAGATAGGAGAGAGAGCACAGCCTCATCTATTGGGGAGGGAGACGGAGGCTTTGGACCTCCACCTGTTACAGGATACTTCCCCTGACTATTCAGTTTTTTAGCTGCAAAAAATGGCAATAATTGAATATAATAAAATCAAGTATAATATAATGCTAAAAGTTCTTGATTATGACTGAAAACTCATATCATAGATGTAGCCACGGGTAAGTTTGTACCCCCCCCCCCACTCCCCTTTTCCATCTTTTAATTTTTGATTAACCCATCTTTCTCCCTTTAGGTGTGTAACATACTGGTATATGCCAAAAAACATTATCAAATTATTTGCAGACTATAAAGTAATAATTAATGATTACCTCGTTGCTTCATGTTTGACCATTGTTTTTTTACTTGTTTCATTGTTCTTTTCTTGGTGGTCCCCTTTCTGAATAAGTATGATAAATATCTTCATTACATTATAGAATAAAAATTTATGGAATTTGCATTAATGTATTATCTCTTTAGGAAAAATGTATGTTAATGTCATATAGATTTTATTTGGGGGGGGGGGTATAAAAAGAACAATACCCTGTCTGGTGCCCCAAAGTCCTATCTCAAAGAGAGTTGTCTCTCTTTTATTTTTTATAAGCTTTTGCAATTAAATTTTACATGACAACTCCCTACGGCCTAAAGAAGACGCATATTGATTTTTAGGTCAAAAGGTTTAGTAAAGGCTAAACTAGACACTGCTGACCTTTTTTTTTTTTTTTGCTTGTCAAGGAATTTGGTAGTTGATAGTGCCCCCCCCCCCCCCCAAATGAAAATGTATGGTTGTGCCCCCTCAAAGTGAAATTGCTTCCTACGGGCCTGCTATGTGTTGTTTTGACAATATAGAACGTGATTAAAACACGTATATGTGACCTACTGTTTGCATTTGATTCATTGGAAAGTCAAGTTCCTCAATGATCTGGGGGTATCAGTGATTCTCGCTTAGGATGTGAGAGGCCCCGGGTTCAAATCCCGGATGATCCTGGGTTTTTTCTTTTCGATTTACTGAATGATAGTATATAGCATATGAAGTGAAGAAGTTATGACCTATGGCGTGTACAAACTTCCTCATAAAATCATTATCACAGTGTGATAAATATTTTACATAAAAAGAATCTTCTGTACACATTTTAAAGAATAAGCAATCAAATCTATATATCCATATTGGCATTTTTTTTTTTATTTGCTTCAGTACATACATTTAATAATTCTGCAAATGCGGAAGGGGGGGGGGGGAGTCGAACCCCCCCCCCCCCCCTAATCTGAACATGCTCTTCTTTTTTTCCTTAAGCGGGGGACAGAAATTCTCTGAATTATCTTGTAACGAATTAGCAACTGCAAGTTGACTCTAATCACAGGACTTGGCATACCTTTCAATTTTACCGAATTTTTTAAAATGAGTAGCTCATTAAACATACTTGTATCTTACGGGTTAATGAGTAAGTCTGTCCTCCATAATGATTATAATAATTTTATTTCTCTTTGATATATTTTCCTCTGTGTTCACGTTTGTTAACGTGTGTTATAATGTTTGGGTTTTCTGTGGGGAGGGGGGGTGGTAGGAAGAATAAGTTTAAGAAAAACATCTCTCCGAATTGATAATAATAAAAACAAACAAACAATCGAGTATACACATAATTATGCATTAAGGTATGTCACTCGTGAAATTTGTTATATCAAGGATTTTTTTAGAAGTATATTTTGGATAAGTACTCGTATAGTATGACTCAAAATCGCAGAGAAAACAGGGGGTCAGTGTGCATCTTACTGATCTACGGTACAATTAAGTTGACCTTTTTGCACTTAAATTTTAACACTTTGATTAATCACTTTAACCTTTATCATATTTTATCAGATGTAACCATGGCAATAAATATAATCTTATTTTACGTAAAATAGTTTGAATAATATTTATCATTGAACAAATCTTGCAAATTAATGCGCGTAAATTATTGTGTGACCTTTTTGCACTAAAAAAGTAACATATTTGGGGTATTAAAAATCTAAATAGGCAATAAAATATTTTCTTGTATCAAACTTTTTACGACTTAAGTGCTGATCAGTCTAAAGTATCGAGTAGTTTAAAATAATGAAAGAAAAATTTGGGGTCAGTGATGTAAATTTTGAAATATTGGTCAAAATATGCGATTTTCAGGCAAAAAACGGTGTTAATTTTATCTTGACTTCTTTAATATATCTTCATTTCTCGGCAAAGTTTGTTGAGGGAAGGTGTAAAATTTGTTATAAAAATATAAATTGAGACCTATATTTAATATTCCTAGCATATCATAACGGAAAATATTCTCTGAGTAAAAATATGTGAGGCTAAAGTTCCAAGATATTAAAATTAACAAATGTGTTGATTTGAAGAATTTTCTTCTAAATATCCTTCCACCACAAGAAATAGTCCCTCATAAATCTTGCTTCTTTATGAATTTTTGAGCAGTTTTTTCATTGAATGTTGAACAATTTACATTGTTTCATTTAAATATGTCATAAAAACTGAATTTTAATAAATAGTTTTGAAGTAAGAGGTTCTGCCTGAACTTTTCTAAAAAGCTGACGAGTGACATACCTTAACAGAATATTTAAAACATTTTAGCCCCCCCCCCCAAAAAAAAAAAAAAAATGACGGAGTCCGTGACAACGTACAATATATATTAATGGTTTAAATTATTAAATGATAGACCCGAACTTTTTTCTTAAAAACTCATATTTTTTATGAGTTCTACCCCCCCCCCCCCCCATTCTCCAAACTCTTTTTTTCGCTAACATGGATCAGCTAAATAAAATATACCCAAAAAATTTGCTGATTGCAGATATAATATTAAGTATGATTTTGTTTATCCCTCATAAATATCTTAAAGAAAGTTTTTATACTTACGCATCGACAATTGCTGTTATCTCTTCCCAGGCGCGATTTTTCTCTGATATGCCGCACTGGGCACCTCTAAACTTTGAGTCCAAAACACCTACCCGCTGACTTGCTTCCTCGTATAATATTTCTTTTTCTAGCTTACTCCAGTATGGTTCGTTAACGTTTTTTTCCTCATTATTTTTTGTTAAAAGAAATTCTATATCATTATCTGCCATGTTTCCTTTTTGCTGCCTGCTGCTTTAATTACCGTTGATGACGTCAGTGGCGTCAATTATTAAAAATGACGTAACAATTAACATATAGTAAGCATAAAGAACAAAAAACAGTATTTATTTTAAATTTTATTTTTATACTTTTCATTATTGCGCAATACTTAGTGGGCGTGGCACTGTCACATGTAAACAATATCCCACAATTCATTCGATATCCTGCTCGGTTTTGGTCTCAGTTTCTGTCTCAAGTGAGGAAATTTGAAATGAGCTCACTCTGCCTTTATGGCACACTAAAAGTGAGACGGTCTAAGTTAAGCCCGGAATCTGAGATTTTTAGATTGATCTCAAAAGTGAGCTGGCTAAGTTTTATGGCCCCGGAGCCAAAGGCGTAGATTAACTGATCTAATATTTACAAAACTACTTTATTGAATATGAAACCATCGCCTATTTTTAAATCTAATCATCAAAACAGGAAAATAATTTATTTAAAACAGTTATATAGATAATGAATTTATTTGGTCGCAATGGAGGTGCACAACGACAAGGAATATAAAGAATATCGCTGGCAAGATCAGCGTATTCCAAATTTACATCAAAAGTGCAAGGGCATAGATAAATCTGTTTGAGCTGAGATATGGAATATCAATTGTTTATACAGTGTATATTTTGAAAAGTGCTAGGTACGTATTCTGATCTGCATATCATTATTTTTTTTTTTATTTTTAACAGAATGAAAGCGAAATGGGAATTTTTAGCTATTGTTCGCATTTTCTGCAAAATTAAGATAGGTCCAGACCTTCAAAGTTTTCTGTCAAAATATTTTTTTTTTTCATTTGAATACCTTAAATATCTCGTAAACTAACCAAAAAGCCCATAAAACACATGCCTTTGCGTTTTTATACAACCTGCCCCAGAATACATACCTATCGAATTTCAACAGCCAAAAATTACAAAGAGAAGTATGATCTCATATTTTATTTACTTATTCACCAAAGCACATCATATTTAGATTAAAATTGTTGAAAATCAAATATATTCATTTGCCAAGAGAATTTTTGAAGACTTTCACTAGAAAACATTAACAAATTGATTTTTAATCTGCCCACGTCCTTCAATTCCCAAAAAAAAAAAAAAAAAAAAAAAAAAAAAAAAAAAAAAAAATCACAAAATACCATAATTTTGAATAATTTTCAAAACCTGAACCGATTACATGCTCTTTTTTCTTTAAAATTATTTAGAATTATATCCAGGTTACCAGAAACATATATTTCATCATGGATGGCCGCATAAATTTTACAAAACAGTGAACATTTCTAGCCCCATTTTGGGGATATCAAGTTTTACAAATTTGAAAAAAGTAAAATATAATAAGATGATGCAGTCTTAAAATCAATAAAATTAAATCTCAATTCAATTTGTATGAAAAATACGAAATATTTTTTGTCCATACAAGCAATTAAAATGATTGTGTTTGTGTGTGTATAAAACGACTTATAGATACAACGGACGGAGTGCAATGTTTGAATGTCCATAAATAATGTATATTAAATGTCTTGTATCCACAATTACACTGTTATAAACAATTATATACTTGATGTATTGCTAAATCTCATTAAAAACACATTTCAATAGACAAGGTGATATCCAGAGTTTTATAATCGCTTATAAAATTAAAACCAGATCCGCAAAGTATCGATCTTCCTTAACAGTACTTCCAACCAGCATAAACTAGCTCCCAGCACTTTTCGGGTAAACGATGTTAACCTTTCTTAATGTGTATCACTTTTTCTCGTAAAACAAGCGTATACCCTTGCACTAGCCTTATTTTCTACATTCAACTTAACAATGTTAACAAAGAAATACATGTCTCATAAGCCGTTTCAAGTCTTTCCAGTCTTGAAATGAAAATAGACATTTACACAACATATCTGTCACAAATGATTGAAGAAAAGCTTCTCCCATCCCTCAAATAAAGTATTTTGTGCAAAGAAAATATATTATAATTGTTTTGATTGATGGAGACAGTAGAGGGAGAGAGAAATTAAAAATATTTTATTAGTGTATTTACTTTAAGTAGTCAACACTTAGAACATAGGAGGCATACAAGTTTACTACATGGGTTTAAAGAACTTTTCATTATTTATTATGTAAAAACACTTCCCTGCATGAAACTATAATTTTCAAAAAGAAACAACCTGGATTCATCTTACCCGTAACATGTGCATGGATTAGAGAGGCCAAAAGAGAAATTATTCAGAGTTAATGAAGCTAAAGATTATAACTTTTTCAAGTTTTTTTCTCAGGTAAATAATTTTGTAATTTTTGAAATCTTCTTTCAGGCAAAAAATCTGATGTTAAAACTTGATAATTGAACAGCTTTCATATTCTTTAACTTGCATTAAAAATGCTTTTAAAAATGATATATAAACAGGAGTAATTTAGTATATTTATCACAATTATGTATCCCAACATGTTTATATTTGAGGACAATTACTTACGAAGGCAAATTATTTTTGGGCAAAACTTGTCCTAAGTCCTGTGACAGTGAATCACTTCTTTCTTCTATTTGGTAACACTCATCAGCTGAAAAAAGACATCTATAATCTAAAAGATATATAAAGTTCAATTTATCAAGATTAACTAGGGAAATAAAATACACCTTTAAAATTATATAGAATTAACAACACATTCAGGGAGATCAGTTAACATTACCGTTTTTTCAATTAATTTTCCGAAACCTTTTATTTTAATATCTTCAACATTCTTTTTTAAAGTATTCAAAATAAAATAAAATTGAAATAAAATAAGTTTTAGTAAAAAATGAAAAAAAAAAAAAAAAACAAAAACAAAAAAAAAAAAAAAAAAACCAAGAGGCCCATGGACCACATCACTCACCTGAGCACACTGGCTAGGAAGAAGCAGAAATCAGTTCAGTATATTGAAAAGTTTTAAGGGGGGGGGGCAAACTTAAATTTACACTACCTCAGGATGCTTCTATATCAATATTACTAATCATGACTTTCCTGTTCTTAAACAGAAGAATTTTAAAGATTTTTTTTTTCCTATTTATCTCTATATGTAAAACTCTGATTGGTCATTGTGGCCCCACCCTACCAAACGTACATTTGAACAAATTTGAATCTACACTACTTGTGGATGCTCCTATAATAATATGTCTAATCATGGCTTTGCTGTTCTTAAGCAGCATATTTTTCAAGACGAATCCTATTTATTCTTATGCAAAACTTTGACCCTCTGTTGTTCCCCAACCCTGGGGGGGGGGGGGGGGGAGTCATGATTTGAACAAACTTGATTCTACAATACCTAAGGTTGCTTCTGTGTATATATGACTAATAATGGCTTAGTTGGTCTTGAGGAGGAGATTTCATAAATATTTCCTATGTAACGTGTATGATCAGGTTCTTACAAGGGATATATAGGTTTTCCTTTCACTCTGTCTGATTTAATGATTGGACAGCTATGTCTGAGGGTATATCACATAGTACTTAAATTTTCTATGTGACGGTACATATTGTCGTTTTGTACATATTGTCGTCGGTGACAATATGTACATACCCTTACTGAACATATTGTCGTCCATCGGTGCATCGGTGCATATTGTAGCCGGCGACAATATGTACAGAGACGATCCTCCTGCAAATTGGACAAAAAAATGTACAGTCGCGCATCGGTACATTTTGTCGTCGGCGACAATATGTACTGTGAACATTTGCACATTTCGTCGCCGATAAAATGTATTGAAGAATATTTACTATAATGTCGTGAAGAGAGAGAGAGAGAGAGAGAGAGAGAGAGAGAGATATAAAAAGAAACACAAATTGTGGTGCAGATAAATAAGTAATAAAGTTGTATTTATTTAGAATAACTCGTAAAACTGTAGCGAGAAAAGGTTTTGTTTAGAAAATTGTGCCCAGCATTAGTGTACATCACTATGATATGTCAAGATACCTTAATTCTTGAGATAATCTGATAAATCAGCCATGTTTTTCTACTTATATACACTTGGAAATTGTTTTTTTTTTTCTTTTTTTTCTTTTTCTTTTTCTTTTTTTTTTTGTGGATCAGTAGTAATGATCATCTGGAAATTATTTTTTGCGTTATTGTTATACATGGGCCGAAATGATTGATACTGGGGTTGATATTTTAGCTCACCTGAGCTTAAAGCTCAAGTGAGCGTTTCTGATCAAATTTTGTCTGTCGTCCGTCTGTCTGTAAATTTTTCACATTTTCAGCTTCCTTTCAAGAACTACTGGGCCGCCAATTTCAACCAAACAGCCACAAAACATCCTTGGATAAAGTAGATTCAAGTTTGTTACAATGAAGTGTCAAACCCTCTTTCAAGGGAAGTAGTTAACAATTAGTGAAAATTAAGTGACATTTTTTAAAAAGTTTTCTCAAGAACCACAGTGTCAGTTAAGCTAAATTATGTAAAAGCTTCAAAATAAAGTGTAGATTTAATTTTATTCAGATCAATTCCCAAGGGGGAATGGTAGGACTACAATAGGTTATCAAAGGTTTTCATAGAATATATGGGGAAAAAAATCTTTCAAAATCTTCTTCTCAAGAACCACTGGGTCAGAAGAGATGATATATATATGAAAGCTTCATTACATAGTATACATGTTCGTTCAAATTTGTAGGTGCTGGTACAAAAAAGATCCCCCATGCCCAATGGCCCTGAGGGCTGAGTATAGGTCTAAATTTGCAGCAATCCACCGGCAAGCTGTATGAGTGAAAAATATCGAGAGGGGCGTTAGCAACAAAGAAACAAACAAAAAAACTCAAATTTCAAATCATGACCACCAGGGTTAGGGTGGGTCCACAATGGGTTATCGAAGTTTTACATAGGAATATAGACAGGGAACCTTTAAAAATCTTCTAGAGAACTAAAAGCAAATATAGTACTAGCGCACCGCCCCCAGTTTGATTTCCTTTGGGGGGGGGGGTTGTTTGTTTAACATATATTTAATCCACAGGTAAAATTTCATAAATAAGTAATTTACTTAACATA